GTCCGTTATCCCTCCCCGCACAGAGGGAATAAGTAACCGCCCCGGGAAACACGCACCCCGGCGTGATGGCCGGCAGGGGCCCCGGCTTTATCGCTGTGCTCTGCGGGGTTCGTAGCTGTGTGGTGCCACCGCGGCAGCGACCGGTKTCAGCTCGGCCTCCAGACCAACACATTTCCTGAGAGTTCTGGAAAGAAAAAAAAAAATGTCGATTACTCAGAAACTAAAGTTTTCTGGTATGTTGCTGCTGCACAACTCACGTGGATAGACCGTATCGGCTCCTCTAAATGTCATTTTAAAGCAGTGCGGGCACAAGGTTGTTCAGGCAGGTCTGAGCAGGGCGAAAGCTGCGGTGCCTCCGGTTAGTGTTTTTGCCAGGCTGATTCATGGGTATTTATGTGGTAATAAGGCTTTTAAGTTATACTGGCTGGCTGTTTTTGAATAAAGTGCTTAATTTTCATGAATACAAATAGACTCCTCTTTGGTGTCACATCCATCCTTAGTAAGTAGGGCCAAATGCTTGGGTGTTAYTTTGCACTATAAGTCTGGCTTAAACCCTTCTCAAGAAGTAGAGATATTTACAAATACTTAACAAGAAACTTACAAGTAAAACCCAAGGTGTCCCATCGTGGTGACTGCTCTCATCTAACCATCTGAACCCATTTATTTTAGTCATTTGACGATTACATTTGCTTTTTGCAATAGTGGAAAAGATGAGGTGTTTGTTTCATTAAAATTTTTAAGTGCACAATTATATTCCATCTGTATTCTGAGACAGAGTCACATTCTGTAATGACCCTAATTGGGTAGGGGATTTGTCACTTACTGTCATATAACTGAACAAAATACGTACACTCTTTTTCTCTGTGCTTCTCTATAGTGTGTCATGTTGACTTTTTTTTTTCTCTAGTAGCAGTTAATGAAATAAGTTTTCCTGAATTATGTGCTGTGTGCTGTTTGACGTAGAAAGCACCTCTATTACATACATCAAAATCTAGCTATTGTAAAGACAACAGCACCTTGATGAATTGGGAAAACATATTTATAAATAAAGATGAATTATTAGAGAGGAGCAAATTAGATATTTTCAGAAAGGTATCTAGTAAATTCTTGGATGCTTTGGCTCCATGATTTTGTTTTGCTGGCTATTGATGGCTGGAATATACCACATTCCAAGAAACATTGCCTTATATTAGCTAACAAAAAAAAAAAAAAAAGGAAGTGATCATGCAAAAAATATTGTTTAACAGATGCACCTCAATGATAATTGAATTTATTCTGATTGGAGTAGTGTGATTGCTGAACTTGTAAGATTAAATCTCTCCTATTTTAGGATGAGATTATACAGATCAGACACGCTAGTTCTTACCCGTGTTGATTAATGGACTATATTTAYACAAATTCTAGTTGCCTTAATGCCCAGTGTCAAAAGTGATGTAATTCCAGCTTGGAAATATGCTGGAAATATCAGTTCTATGATAGGACTTGATAGATAAATTCTCCTGCTGAATCAAGACAGGTAAATATATAGTGTCGAACTCGATGGTGAATTTTGTAAATCAGTGCATTTTACAGAGAATACTGGTAGAGATGAGATGAACAAAGCCTTTGCAAATGTATTTGTAAGCAATAATATCTGCAAAATTAGTTTGCCAGTTGTTTTTTGTTTGTTAGTTTAATATGCACAATATAAGTACATGCTTCACAATGCTGTTTTGTATTGTTTCTCATATTARGAAAATACTTATTTTTAGACTGTACTGTATGCCTGATTTAAGGCATGCTAATTTATTATCAAGAATGAGTGAGGTAAGATCTTCAATTTACAGTATCAAGTCTGTGGACCAGTTTGTTGATTAAAGGTGTTAATTGCTTTAAATAGGATGATGAATTCAGAGGAAGAAGCGGGTAGTGTGTTGAACTACTATTAATTCAGAACTGAAAATGCCAGCAGGTAAGATTATTTGTGTTGATTTCTAATATGTATTTTATAATCAGGACTAGATGCAAGTGATAGGAATTACTTCTGACTATAAGTTTGTAATATTACATTGGCTTAGTTTTGAGACAGTATTATAAGCTAATTTTTAAGGTGTGTTTAATTTCTTTGGGAGAGCATGGGGAGGAGGAGGAATTTTGCTTCCAATAGTAGACATGTAATAGCTGAAGATTCAGGAGCCATTTTTAGCAATACACAAAGTTACATTTTTCCTTTCTTTGGCTCCGGGAGGAGCCGGAGTGCTTCCCACTTGAAGCATTGGCCCCGTGCTCATGGCAGCCTCACGATCCCCTTGCCTGAGCTCCGGCTAAGGCCGAGTCTGTGGGCGCCCCTGCCCGTTCCTGCCCTGTCTCCGGGAGCGGCCGCTGCCCCTCTCCTCTGCCTTGCAGCCCTGCCARGAGCCCCGCGCTGCCCTTGCCAGCCTGGAGCCCTCACCTCCAGCAGCGCTGTTTGCGTGCTGGCTTTGCCCAGTGTTGTGCCTGAGTTATTCTCCTGAAGCTTGCTTACACTGCCACGGAAAATTCTTGACGGAGTTCAAAATGAATTTCTTAGTATTTTTTTCCTAATAAAGTAATTGTGGTATATTTCAGTTTTAAAGCATGGTTAGGCACTGGTTTAACTGTCGTAATTATTCAGCAGTCAATCACAGTCTAGCTTCTTTTTACAGTTGAAAGTGAGGCAAAGGCAAAAACCAAAGTTCGCTTTGAGGAAATTTTCAGAAGCCATGCTGGCCTAACGGAGAAAAAGAAATCAAAGAAAAAGAAGTTTAACTCTCAAGAGGACATTGTGGTGAGTTTGGACACATCTAAATTTTGTTTGGGAACATTTTTGGAAATGTTTGGCAATATTCAGGAAAAATATTTTTGTAAACATTTACAAAAATAAAATATAAAGTATTCATATGCACATCATTTATTGTCAGTGTGGTTTTTATTTTTATTTTTTTATTTTTTGTTCAATAGAAAGACATCCTGGTATTTCGGAGGTATGCCAGAGTTATTCAGAGTATAATGTTAGTAAAGAGTAAACGGCGCATGCAGGTTTGTGCATATTAAGTCTGTAACCATGAGCTTCGGTACATCTCTTAAAGTTACTGGGATAAGAACAAGAATTTACAAACCTTATTAAACAACATCTGGAGCTATATGCTTTTTTATTATTTATTTTGATCTCAGCATTATTATACACGTGTTAATTTTTGTTGGTCCCATTGTGGTTAAATGTGTACTTAGGCAATACCCCTCTCTGAAGAGTTGTTCCAAAKATTTGGTCTGCAGTGTATTAACTTGCCGGTTAGACATGATTATATGAATCTGACTTTATATCATTAGATTTCTGTTTGTGCTTTGTCTCAGATTAAAAGAGCCCCAAATGTGTCCTACAGTATGGTTCATCTTTCTCTTGAGCACAAGAATAACTGTTTAGTAAGATCTCTAATGGTGATTCATAATATTTGAGATTAAAAAAGATTACTTGACAAATGGACTTTTTTATTTTCCTCCTGTTAATATTTATATTTTCAATCTTTTCTTTGTTACATCTATACATGATATTGGAAGAGAATATACATTTTATTATCTAATGTTTGCTTAAGACCCAGAGTTACATTTTCTATAACATCAGAAATTAACATTTTATTACATACAGCTGCATTTGCATAGTTGCAAAATACTTCTTAGTGTTGTACCTGATATTAACTTGAGCTAGAGAATTCTAAGTTGATATTTGCCTCAATATCTTTTCTTTTAATTTTGTATGTCTTTCAGTATGCAACATAATGTCCAAAATACATAATGTCCAAAATACAGCATAAAAAAAGTCAAAGGTTTTCTTGTTGTTGTTGTTATTGCTTTGCTGGCATATATGTAAGTACAGGGATAAATTCCTCCATAGTTAGATTTATTTCTTTGTTGAAACATGCATTTTTAATCTATTTTTTTTAAGTATGATGTAAATGTCTTTGAACATATAATTGCATGTTCATATCCAACTGCATATCACTCAGATCTGAACATTACTTTGGTTTTAAAACTGGCTTTCCAGAAGAGACTTTCATTTGAAGTCGTGGTGAACGGAATCAAAAGTGAATGATGAGCACACACATGAAGAATTGTTCTGGAATTTGCATTAGTCAGTATGGAGGCCTAACTTTTATTCCGGTTTTGTTGTAGCTGTAGATTTATTACAATTAAAACATTAAAACCTCAAGAACTTAGAAATTGTCTGCATTGAAACCTGATGCTTCCCATTTGGAACATTTAATTAAAGTCTGGCAAAATTGTCATACGTACGGTTGATACTTTCTATGTGGGTGTTTACATTCCAGTAGGAATTTCAGAAAAAGTTTAAGCGAGGATGTAAGAAAGTGCTTAAGCATTTCTTAGTCGTAACTAAACGTTGCGTGTGGGAGGAGATGATGGTGTCTTGCTGATTCTGTTTTGGTTTGATCATATAGTTCAGTTGATTCATATAGTTCAGACTCTGTAGTGTTTCACACACCTTGAAAATACCTGAAATCTCTCGGTAATGGTTGTCCTCATGTCCCATGCACACGTCTAGCCTTGCTTAAATTAACAAGTGTTCCCCRTCATGGTCCATCAGCAACTTCAAACCTGATTCTGGAAGTGCAGGAGCTCACTCTGATTCTAAACTACGAGAGTGGGAGTAATGGGGCTGCGCTCCCTGCGTCCTAGCCTGGAGAGAAAGGAGGTGACCTTGCTCCAGCTGGGAAAGGCTGCAGCTGATACCAGTGCGGCAGCAGGAGCGTCAAGTCACCACAGCTAAGGATGAAGGGGTTATAGAGAGCAGAGATGGTGATAGCCAGCAGTTGTTGCAGGTAAAGGACCTGGTTTGTCATTCAATAGTCAGAGGTGCAGTGGCTTTGTGGRCTCAGCATGGCTGAAAGGAGCTTTTCCTTTTGACAAGCAGTGTCAAAAGAGCAGACAAAACCCAAGCAGTGGCATGCGGTCAGACAGGGAAATTGTCAATATCTCTTCTAAAGACAACAATGTATTTATTTTTTTTCACACCTGTACATCCTCTTATTAGATTAGCCTCAAATTAACATCTCTAAAGTCAGTGTTAAAATGAGTTAGCTTATTTCTGTATAAATTTCATATTAGAAAAGAGATTTTATTTATTTTGAAGCAAGAAAATGTCAGTGATGGTCTCTACCAAGTAAAAAGGCAAGAAAGTTGTTCCCAGATTGCGGCCTGGCCAGCTTACACAATTGAACGGGCGTATGCTGATAACAAAGGTTTAGTTTTTGAGACAGGACTTTACCCATGGGTTTATCCATTTGAAACTTTTTTCTTCCTACCTCACTGAATCCACTGTTTCCCTTTCTTCATAAGGTCTTAAACGACAGTGGAGTTTTGAGTGTGATGGGGGTACCRATAACAAGAGTCTATGTCGTGACTTGAAAATTCTTGCAAATTTTCTTTGAGAAAACATGGGCGTTTTGTATTTTTTTATTCAGGCTAATTCTGGCCTTTAGCTTCTGCTTTAGGTGTAAGAAATCCTTGCTGAACTTTGAGACCATAGAGGTTTCTCAGGTCTATTTTATAGTGTATATTTTTCCATGGACTGACGTTCATTGAATAATTATGGAAATTGAACAAATTTTATTTGCTGCATTTTGTGATAGTGTTTTATTTCATTATAAGGATTTTTTTTTTCTAAAAATAAATATATTGTAACTAAGTATAGGCTGCTGTTATTCATGTTGGGTATTTGTGGACGAATGTGTTTGTAGATATGCTAGTGTGTCAGTAAATATTTTGAGCAAGACTTTGCAAAAGAACTTTCTTTGAAGAAATGATTCTTACATATTAGAATTAATCTAGAAACATAGTTTTTACTTTCTGTATATGCTGTTTATTCAAAAAATGCCTATGATGATCTCCTTGTGCAGTGTTTGTGGGAGAATGAAATGAAAGTATGAGAGGAGTCTGCTTCTTTGCTTTTTTAACACATCTCTTGAAATGGAAGAAGTATCTCAGGTAGATTGGGAAGACATGTTGATTGAGGGAGGAAAAAGATCTTGCCAAGAAAAAGAYTGAATGCAGATACACTCAGAATAAAAACATAGTTTTGTTTTGTTTTTTAATTGTTAATGTTTTAAAGCCTTTCTATTATGGCCCTTCATCTCAGCACTCCAGAGAGTTTAAGACAACAGAGTAAGTAAACCTAGGTGACCTAAGCTGTGAAGCAGAGATCTATGTGTCAAGCTCTTTCTAGAATCCAGTCTTAGCTTTTGTGTTTTTGTGTTGTTTTGACATTGGAGTAATTGGAGAAACAAACCTGTAAAGAAGGAGGAAAATTTACAATTTGTTTTCTTAAAAAAACACAAAAAATGGGCTGAAGACAAATGTACTGACTCAGAAGAATTATCTTTTTTTTTTTTTAAATAGATTGGCTTTGGCTTACAATTGAATACTTTTGTCAGTCTACTAAGAAAAATGTATTTTTCAGCATTTTTTTTTAAGAAAATGACTTTAAAGAATTTTTTTTTTTTTTATTTTAACAGTTTTCAGATAGATTTCAGTGTCAAACTTTGGCAGCCCACTTTCAGTAGAGTCCAAATAACTTAACCTGGAGTCAGCCTCTAACTTGCATTTTAAATGGATGTAAATATTTATTTTGGTACCTTATGTTATTTTGAAGTCTTCCGTAGTGTGAAACATTGGCATATCTTTATGAAGTAGATTTGTGTTCTTATTGGATGTAAATATATATATATATATATATACACACACACACATTTTTTTTTTTTTTTTACACAGCAAAGCAATAGTCAGGATGGGTTAACATAATTAATGTTTGATTTTGTTTTACTTCATGTAAGGTTTAAAGAAATGGCATTTACAGTACTATAATTATCCTTAAAATGTATTTTTTAGTATCAAGTATGTTTTCTATTCTTATTTATAGCTTGACACCTTTAGAAGTAATGTTGATCTAGCTGAAGGAAGTGGGAATGATGAAGTAATTATAAACAACACATATAATCCCGAAGRAAAGAGTTCCCGATTTACAAAAAATAGACTGAGAGAGAAAGCCTCAGTTGCAGAGAAAATAAACAATGATGTTGTTAGTGCAGAAGAGAACAAGCAGACGAAGTTTATCAAGAAGAAAAAGAAATCACTGTTACAAGAACAATTTAATGAGGAGGAAAATTTATATGAAGTTAATTTGGAGAGTTTTGAAAAAAACACTAATGATTTTCCAAAGAAAAAAACGAAAAGTAAATCACAAACAGGTGTACCTCATCAAGAAGGTGATAGAAAGATTAAAAATACCTCGACTGAAGGGAGAAATGTAAGTGAATTACAGGAGGAAGAAGAGCTAATTCAAGCCTATCAGATGCATGTAGCTGAGGATGAGGCAAATGCAATTAAAAAGAAAATAAGAATGAAACTTAAAGAACAGATGTCTGAATTTACCTCCACTGTTCAAAGCCATGAAGTTGTATTGGATGATGAAGTGGGCAAAAAGAAGAAAAAGAAAAAAGAAACGCCAGTTTTATGTGAAGCTGAAACAAGGTACAGTGATAAACAGTAATCAACATGAGTTWAAGTCTTTAGCTTAAAAAGCTTAAAGTGTTTAATATTATATTAAGATGGGCAAAAGTTCTCTAGTAAATTGTATATATTTTCTAAGTGATAAAATAACTGGATGATTTTACTGTGGAAAAAATACTACCTAATATCAGTTCAGAATGCAGCTGAGGTTCATATTTAACTTTAAAGATTATTTTAAACTTAAATATATATCCTCCATTACTATTTGACATTTATTTTCTGTGGAATCATCTCTTGACTAATTTAAAATAATTTTATGCATGTTTTACTGTTGATGAGTGATGGCCCAAGTTCAGCAAAATACAGTTGGCTGCAAGAATGGTTCTAGAACTGTCTGACAATTAATGGGAAACAAGGTGGGGAAAGAAATGAGAAGTGAGGGGTTGCACTTTGAAGATTCCCAGGTGCTGAGCTGGAGATGTAAAGAGGAAGTTTCACCTGGATTAGTAATGGTAATGAGTAATTGTATCCATATTTGTAGTAGAACATAACCGCTGATAGTCATCTCTTACATTGCAGTGCGATGTCCCTCTCGGAGCTGCAGCAATACCCYGCAGCAGATGATAATGAAAATCAGTCCCTGGAAAGACAGTTTACATCAGAAGAGCAGAAACTGGAGGCAGGCTTGGAAAAACAAAAAACGAAAGCAAAGAAAGTTAAAAGGAAAGCTATAAAAGGTTCGCCATCAAAATGTTAGAATGGTGTGTTTTACTATGCAGGACTTTTGTCCTTCTTTTCATTTCCAAGATGTTTTAATATAGTAATAAAACAGAAATAACTGAGGCTACTCTTGAAATTATTTATGTTTTGTTTACTTGATTGTATTTTTGTGCTTCCCAAAAGCACAAAATTTTTGTCTTGAGGTTAATTTCTAAGGAAGTCAATTGGATTTTCTTTTCATGATATACTTGTCAATCATGAGAATTCATTTTGACCTTGAGAAATAGTCTAAAMTCGGGAGTGGCATAATATATATTATGCTAATAAATTCTAGCTTTACAGAATAGTACTTAGATGTCTATTCTGATAGTGCTTTTATTATTTCTGCATTTTTAGTTTTAAAATGCACTGTTTTAACTTGGTGCTCAATTCAAACATAAAAAATATTTTTCCTGCAACACATAGTCAAATTTTGTAGTTCATTTCCTCCAAATGCTGTGAAAGCCAAAATAAATGGGTTCAGAAAAGTAATGGGTTCACAAAGTAATGAAGGATATGTCTATTTATTACAATTTGGATAGTGGTAGCAATCCTGAATTGCTACCTGAATCCTGAATATGATCCTGAATAAAGGAAGTTAGGAAGGAACTTCAGGAAGTTCTTTAAGCAATGTTTGGTGTAGGTTCAGGGAAGATACACTAGGAAAAATATGAGTTGATGCATACCTTGTTTCTTACATTCTCCTTAGGAAACTGTTATAGGCTACTGTCTGTAGAAAGATATTGAACTAGCTGGCTTTTAATTCATCACACTTGAGAATATCCTATATCAGTCAAGGGAAAGAGCTTGAATTTTAAATTAAAAAAAAACCAAAAACAGAACTCAGTAGAAATACATTGTGTGAATGAATGGATACCCATATAAATTTATCCGTGTATAAAATGCTGCAAATTTGTTGATTTTATTTTAACCTATTAATGAAGACATGAAATACTATTTTTTTTTAACTGTTGGATTGCTGAAAGAATGCTTTTTAACTGTCAGCAACAGAACATAGTAGCCTCGAGGTTTACTTTGTTCCTTATTCTAGAAGAAAACACAGAAGTTGCTGCAGAAAATGTAGAGGAAACGAGCAGTTCAGAAATTTCAAATCAGTCTAAATCTAGTTTCGATGATGATCGTGTTTTGGGCGTTTATATCCATCGAACTGATCGACTTAAAACAGATCTCCTCGTATCTCATCCTATGGTTAAAATTCATATTGTTGACCAGAGAACTGGCTTGTATTGCAAGAAGAATCATAGGTGAGTTTTTTTAATAAACTGGTTTTGTTGTGAGTGTTTCTTAGAATACGTTGATTCGTGCCTAGAAAATGAAATATAAAAATAAAAATAGTGCTAAATTTTAAGTTTGCAAGGTCATTTGCTAGGTTTTACACCTCTCGATGCATATCTAAGAGAAAACTAGAGTGATAGTCTTTTCTTCTTGGCCATTATAAAGACTCTTTGTTGCAAAATTGCTCTCAAGGTTGACATTTTTACAGTCTGATTGGTTCTATCTTATTTCTAGACAGAAAAAAAACCCAAATCTCAAAATATTTAGGAGTCAAGATGAGAATAAATAAGCAAAATTCATGTGGCAAAGTAGCATAGTGTTTGCCCCTTCCTTTGTTCTGTCTGTCTGTAGGATTAGTACAGACTTGTCCTAAGGACAAGGATTTTGTACTTAAGCCTTTCTTTTTTCTACATGCATGGTCAATTGCCTTATATTTTGTGTAATATGAAGTGAATGAATTTGCTTGTTTGTTTGTTTTCAGTAACTGCACTACTGTTTTGTTTGAGGTTTTTCTTTTGTTTTAAGGCATTGTAACAAATGTAACCGTTTGGAAATTTTCAAACAGTGAGAGGAAAGTTTCATCTTACTACGAGCAAGAGGGAATTGAGCACATTCTTCCTATTATGACACAGCCATATGATTTCAAACAGTTTAGATCAACGCTTCCGGAGTGGGAGGAGCAAGTCATATTTAATGAGTGTTTTAGTTACTTTATTCAAAATACTGAAGAAAGCCCTAGGGTAATCCTGTTCTTTGAGGTAAGSATTAAATATTTTACATCAGGTTTTTGCATGTTATGATTTTCTGGCTATGCTTCTTCAACAGAATATGCTTAAGTGACTGCATTTTCTTTTTCAGTTATATAGGATTAACAACATAGCCTTAAAATAAAGCCCTGTGTGGAAATAGCAGGTGTTAGATAATACTAATAACCATTATTTATGAGCTGAGAAAATTACTATGAATTGTTTTGGTGATAGAAAGGAAGATGGACCATTCTAATTGATTCAGTTGAGAAACTTCTCAGAAATGCTGCTAATATTATGCCAGAGCAACAGCAGCACACAGAAAGGTTAAAACGTAACCTATTTCAAGTTTTTGAAATACAAAAAATACAAAAAATATCAGCAGCTCAAAGATRGAGCTTGCCTGTAGCGACACCTCTTTGCTCTTGTACCGATGAGCAAACTTGTGTACTGCTTTCCATTAACATTAGAGACTTCTGCTTTTCCTCTCCTATTCTTTGCACAATAATTATTACTTCAGCTCCGATTAAATTTGTGCTTATGGGAGAAAATGTAAGGTTTTCAACACACTTTTGAGCTTTGAGTATTGCAGTATTTATAAAGAATGTATACAAGAGAATTTCTCTAGTGTTAAAGATGGAAGCAGAGTACAGTAAATAGGTTTTCATTCTATGTTAGTTATCTTTCAAATAGATCGCATATACAGTATTGCCAGATGTTTTTTTACATTCCTTGATACTCTTAAATGAATACATTTATAGAATTCATATTAGTCCCTGGTTGCTTAGCACAAAAGTAATTATGGTTGTGTAGAAGAATCTTCCTGGAAATAATACTAATGTTGGGACCAAAAGTGTGACTGCACTGAAAGCCTGTTATTTCACTTGGCGTGGTTTTTAAAATGCAGATTTGGATATGTAATGATTCCAAATTTTTATATACCATATAAACTATCAGGAATGGCTAAATATCAGAAGAGTCCTGTTACAGATGTGAAAAAATCAAAAAAACATGTTCATAATTTATGAGCTTGAAGGAAAAGTAACTCTTTACTTAGTTAAGTAAATATATAGTTGTTTTTGGTGAACTGTAAAGGATTTATGAAATTTGCATATGAAATCAGTGAATGATGATTAGAATGATATTCTATCAACTTTTTCCCATTTTTAATGATAAAATGGCAAACATGATTTTTTAAAGAATTGCATTATGTTTTTAATAGATTATAAGCAGCCATCAAATGAATGCAATGTTATTTCTAGTTCTGTCCTTTAGTGGAATAACTGTTGCTTTTGTAATTACCTAGAACTGCAATCTGCTTAACTTAGTGAATCAAATCTAGAGAATTTAAGTAGTATTTTTTATTATCATGAAGCTATATATTAGAAATATGTTTATATTTTCACTAATGCTTGCAGATTCTTGATTTTCTAAGTATGAATGAAGTAAGAGCCAACTCTGAAGTACGAATTCAGGAATGTGGTTTCCGAAAAATCTGTTGGGCGTTTCTAAAGGTACTGTGAATGTTAAAGAAACAAAAATTACAAACAATTCTGTAAATTGTATTTGTATTTATATATATTATACATATATATTTAGAAATTTTGATTTTCTATAGAAGCTGTTTGACTGTTTGTTCTCTCCTGCTCCTACCCTTCCTCCATAAAGTTCAATGGTATAGAAAGTAAGTTTGACAGGAAAGAATGTATGTTTTTCAAAGAAACATTAGAAGTGTAAGATATTTTTGGTTCGGTGAGTGTAGAACTCATTAGAAAATTAGCAGATACATTGATAAATRTAATCAGTTGATATATTAAATATCATGAAGTTTTTCTTCGTGTGTTCCTGAGACTGTCTCTTCAAAGGAAAGGACAAATTTGCTGATATCTGTACCTCAGCTATTTGGTATTTTAGCACCACTTTTAGTTAACTAGTCTTTGAAAAGACTCCCAGGCCTAATTAGAAAAGGCTTGTCATTTGCAGTTGCAGAGTTTGAAATGATCCAACAGTGTGATACAGGCAGCTTAGCCTGTATCGTGAACCTTTTCCCCCTTTTAGAGAGGCTTGGATGTGCCAGATGATTTGCCTTTGGGAGCTGATGAGGTATTACTTGCTTTAGCTTGCCCGGGGGTGGGTTGTTTTTACCTGCCCTTCTGGAGAGCAGAACTTGACAAGCACTGACCAGTCCAAATCAGGAAATGTACCAAAGAGGCTGGCCCTGAGCTTTTGGGAAGGAGAGGGACCTGCAGAACCTCACAGGCAGAGTCGCTCCTCGTTTCCAGTCAGGATGAATCTGCCTGAGTCAGGGAATGGGAATCCCCACTCTGGGTGTGTATTGATGGGAATTGTACATCTGGATGTTCAACACAGCCTACACCTGAACACTGGAATGATTTTTCCAATTCACAAATACAAATAAAATAATGGCTTCTTGTTCATTGCTATTGCATCAGTTTTTGTGTTATCTTTTTGCCTATGTCATGCAAATAAACAGTGGTTGTTGTTAATGTCAATAGGTATGAGGGAATACTTATAGAATAGAATGAGGGAGCATAAGCACTAATGTATATCTTCTTCTAATCCATAACTTAGTTTTAAAAACATAATAGCAATTCATTCTTCTAATTCCATTAGTTGAATAGAACTCTATTTCCTGTCAGGTTAGAAAGGCTGCTGCTTTGCTCTGTCTGAAACAAAGCCTTTGGTTCAGGGACCTTTGTTGCAGCATTCAAAATAATGTGGAGGTGGAGGCAGGTTTGGAAGATCATCTTCATGGGATTGGCAGTCCCCTAAGATTTTGGTGATTCCAGGAGGTATTGATTAAATAAAAAATATATATATACATTGAATTGGTGGATATGAAGTGTGTTTCAAAAATAGGCTGTGTTCTGAGCTTTCATCTTAGTGGCTTATTCATGAGAATGGATATTTAGTGCACACCTACTTCATTACCACTTTTAGGAATAGTATATTGCCCCAGTGGGAAGTGTATGTTAGAATTTAGACTGCAGTTGTTTGATTTAGTAATAATAAATGACTTTTATTAGTTTTGTGTCAAAGCATCTTTTTTTCTCTCTCTTTTAATGGTCCTTTCAGTTGGTAGGTGCAAATGGAGTTCTCAACGTTGATGGAAAACTGCGTCTGCAGTTGTATTACCCACCTCCGAGGCCTCCAAGGACCAGTTCACATTCAAATGTTGTTGAGGTTTATGAGTGGTGGGCAAAATGCCCTAGAAATCGCTACCCATCAACTTTATATGTAACCATAAGARGCATAAAACTGCCAAAGCATGTAAGTTAAGTATGTATAAATGTGATTCTTCTGTAATGCTGATAATTCTAGCCCCTGTGTATGTCTATATGTGTATATGTATGTATACAACAGCTGTACATAAATGTAGGGGATATGGGATAGCTAGTATGTAACTAGCTTTTTACAGRTCCTGTCCCCTGCCGCTTTTCCTGAAGGGCCAAAGTCTTCCCTATCTCCTGCATGGGTTGGTATGTSAGAGTACCTTATATGAAAGCAGATACTTATGTGTGGGCAGCTGAATTGCTTTCTGCTTGGGTAGTAGGCATCACTTGTTAGTGAAACTTGGAGTAATTAACCCTACAGTGTACACCTAGATAGTGTCAGCCTGAAATAAAACAATCAGAATGGTTAATTCTGCCTGATTTTTCCAAAAAGACTTTATGTGAAAGTGAGCTGCCAGTGCTCAGTGGCCTTTCTGCCTGACAGCCAGGCTGCTRCTGTGTTATTTGAGAACATTCTGTTTCTACGTGTTAAAGCTTTCCTTAAATCTCTGCTGATATTTAGTAAGCAAACTTTCCAGGATATTGGAAAGCATATATGCTTCACCAACAAATAAATGAAAAATGTTATCAATCCTGTTCTGTTTTGACAACAGTGGCACATAGTTTGTTGAATACACAAAGCTAGTAATGTCTTCAGGTATCCTGAATGCATTTCACTACTTAAGCAGAGTCTTTGATTTGAATGCAAAAAAAATAATGTCACTGAAACCGTTTACATGCCCAAGTACCTTTGTCCATATCTTTGCCAGGTGCTAAAGCATTACTAATTGTTACAAAGAAAGATAGTTACAGGAAATAGAAAAGTATTAATTATTTGAAAAAAGCTTTAATATGATCTGATTGAGACAACTTTGGGTTTACTTTCTGACTTGTTGGTTACATTAAATGCATATGTAAAGCTTTTTTCCAATCTGTTTTTCAGTTGGAAAAAAAAGGAAATGTGTTTCATTTTATATGCAAAGCCCTTTTAATTTTTTTTCAAACACCACAGTGTTCATTTTAAAAAGTATTTTTTTCCTAATGTTTCCTCTTATTCACCTGAAGGTTAATCCTTCTTCCCGTTCTATGATGGCTGTTCAGCAGGAGCAGGGTAGTGCCACATTCTGTGAGCTACAGAATGAGGGATCTAAAAAAATAAGTGAACCTCTTCCCGAGGAGAAGAAAGAGCAATTTAAGTGGACAAGATTGCCTGGACAGGTAAAGCATTTTGCTTTTGCTTTTTTTATTTTTTATTTTTTAGTAACTTTTTTTTAAGTAACAAAGATCTATAATGTTTGTAAATTTCTGTTTCTGATGTAAATTTTGTGAGGCAAGATTATAAGAATGTTGACTTGCCATTGTAAAAATAAAATTTGGTAGCACGTTTATTCTCACACTAACCCATGCACACACTGGAGAACTGGGTAGCAGTGATGATACGTCTTGTTGGGTGCTGTCGTGTGAACAAGTTTCGGTAAGGTTAGCGTGATGTTGCATATGTTTTGCTTCCAAGGAACATTAAAGCATATATTTCTGTTCAAAAATGAATAATAACTCAAAATTATTTCCTTTATACACATTATAGCAACTGTTTTATGTTGCTCTAAAGGATAAATTGTTGTTTAAAGAATCACTGTATATTGAGACTCTGCTGTCTCGCTATTCATAGATAGATACAGATAGGTAGATGACATGTTATTTTCCCAAGACGTGTTATTTTCCCAAGATTCTGTACAGAATTATGAATTAATATATGAATTTATTTTAAAGTGATTTTATATATGATTTATAGCTAAGTGACTTTTAAGTAAAAGAAGTCTGTTCTAAGCTGAAATTGATTCAATGTTAAAATGTTTTATTTTAGAGGTGTTTAGAGATGCACTAGGTGCTTTAGAGGTGCTTTTAGAGGTGCACTATGGTGCTTAATTGTATATGTAGTTTCCAACTAAATGGATTTACATAGATCTACTTGTACATTTTGAAGGCTTGCTATTTACTTAATAATGTAATTCTTATGAAATTTAGATTAAATAATAAAATAATTGCATTGGATAATTTAATTTCCCTTCGAACTTTGTATTCTTTTAGGGAAAAAAACAGTGAAAATGTTTCATGTCCAGTTATTTGTGAGGGTGAAAAAAAAGGAATTGAAATTTAGATGAAAAATGCCAAAGGTGATCTAATAAAAGAATATGTTGTCTGCATGTAGTTACTTTTCTGATTTTACAGTTCAATAAGAAGCTTTGAATTTGTTTGGCTTAGAATACTTAGACTTATGATCTAGCTTTACAGTTTAAATGAGCATAGTTGTTTTTAAAAATCTCTTAAAATTAAGGAAATCACTTTGGTTTTAGATTTTTAGAAATTATTATTTGTTAGAAATAAAATCTAATAGGACAGAAATTAATGCAAACTAAATGGGACCTATGTTCTATTACACAACTGTCTGCATGGATGACTGGATGGATTTTTTGCTTTAAATTTGCTTAGGATATTAGTAGCTCTCTAAAACCTATGCATGCCAAGAGCTGCAAATGTGGTTTAATCATTGGATAATTAGTGTTCAGAACTGACTGAAGTCACCATTCTTACCTGCAAAACTAGGTTTGTCGCATACCAAACAAGCACCTGTTTTCCCTGCGAGGAGGAGATATGGGCTGTTTCTGTATTCGTTTTGCTCCTGATGGGAGAACACTGGCAGCAGCATGTGCAGGAAGGAACGGCTATCCCATCATTTGTGAGTTAGACACATTCTCCTTCCCTCTGCCCCCAGTAACTCATGTACGTTGGAATTAAAGGGAAAATGGTATTTTTAAAAAATAGTTTAGACATTTTGTAATTTCATTTAATATTTTTCTCTATGCATTAAACATTCTTCAGAAAAATGTTCTTGTTTGAACAATTGGCTTTTGTGGATGATAATATACACACAATTTAAATATACACATAGTTTAAGGACACAGAAATCCTATCCCTTCTCCACAGAGTTCTCATGGAAATAGAAAGTCAGATTGTGCACAAAAAAAAAAAAAAATCATATTTGCTGATAATGAGGTTTTAAGGGCCATATTTCTTCAGTAACATGCTCCACCTGCATGAGATTTATGTAAAGTTTTTTAGATGTCTTATTTTGAATGTGCCTATTTGAAGCCAGGATACCTGGGCATACTGACATCTCCAGAGAGAGTCCTGGAGGCTGCCMTTTCCCATGTCCCGGACAGTTTATATGGAACTGTGGTTATTCCATGTTATTTAAACTGGGACTGCTTCCAACAGATACCTGAACTACATAGTATGGGACCCAACATAAGAGTTCTGAGTTTTATTATAGAGAACAATATTTTGATTGCATGAGAATAAATGTTTAAATGCAAGGTGCTGTATATTTATGTTGCTTTACTAYACAGCAACAGAAAATGGTCTCCATGTTAATATTTTTCTAAGACTGTTCAGGTAGCAGTYGAAAAACCTCTGTAATCTGATTTAAACCAGGTTGAGCCAATTTCTTAAGGGTTAATATGTTAGTGACAAGCTGGTACCACTAGGTGGAAGTATGTGCTTGCTCTGCATGCATATCTAGCAAGTACTTGATGTCTGAAAATGAGGAGTTGGAGGAAAAAGTTGGAGGAAAGTAGTTGACTTATGTTTACTGATGGTAAATAATTGTTTATTTGTTTAAATTTTCACTAGTGTATGAAATTCCTTCTGGACAATACCTGAGAGAATTTTATGGTCATCTTAACATAGTGTATGATCTTTGTTGGTCAAAAGATAATCAATACCTTCTTACTGCATCTTCTGATTGCACTGTCAGGTCAGTATGACTGAAATGTTCTGGAAAATAGTGTCATAATCTCACACACACACACACACACACACACACACACACACACACACACACACACACATAAAATCACTCTGTGGTGTGTTCCTGGAAGTGACTACTACTACTACTGTGCTGGGAGCTTTTAATTAAAAATTCTTGCCGTGTGACTTTTACAGCAGTTGTGCTATATTTACTATACTAATCTTTAGTGTATATATGTTTGAGAGTGAAGTTTTTCTAGTAACTGTAGGATCTAATTTGATGGCACAGAACAGCACCAAAATTAATCACTTTATCCTGCTGATTTCTTGAAACATGTATGATTGAAGAAATTATTGTATTATGAATGCACTATTGGTTTACAAATTTAAACATGAGAAAGAATATTATAAACAAAGATTCCTATAATATGTTTAAATTGGATGCATTATATGTGTGTATGTAGCTTATTGGATATTGGAATATACAGCTAAGTAATTCAAGTTAAATTAACGTTATGGTGTTAGTTTTGAGAGTAAATGTTTATCATTTTTTCTGTATAATCAAGAAGTGTACTTTAATGCACTGTTAATGTTGAAAATCTAGTTTGTTTGAGGTTTAAAAGAAAATACTCCAAAGTATAGAGGGAAAAAAAAAAAAGAAAAATATGGTTATAGCATCACACAATTTCATTAAGAACACTTGATAGCTTTTCATAGGGTTTTTTTTTTTTTTTTTGAGGTCTTCAGATCCTATCTCTGTTGCTTCTGTTATGCAACTTGTAATGCTACAGGCAATTGCATAATTAAAATGCCAGAGGAGTTGTTAAATGATACATTCTATGTGTGGAACTGTTTTGTTTTTATTTTTGTTTTTCCCACTGATTACTGCTTGCATGTGATAATAAAAAGGAGTATTTTGAGTGTTTATATATGTTTTTAATATTAGTTTTGCTGTAGATGCTGACTAAACAAGAAYTGTTGATACTGGAAATAATACCAATTCAAATCTGTCATAAATATATATATATACACACATATACATAGAGACACGCACATACACATATATAGYGTATATATACATGCAGAGAGAGAGAGAAGGAGAGGCAGCCTGAATGTTCCTCACAGTTTGTGGGAGCAAGCTGCAGCTTTACTGGCCTGCCGGCCTTTCAGCGCGCTAGGCATCGTCCCAGTGTGATTTGTTGGTTCCTGTATTTCTTGTGCTTAGTCTGAAAGGCTTTCTTTAAAAAAGAAGTTCAGGCAAGATATTTCTATCCTACTCGCTGTTGTTTTGGCGCAGAAGCATGGCAGAACTGGAGGGCTGGTGCCAAAGGCAGCCCAATCTTCTAAAGCCACGTCTGTTTCTTTCCTGTCGTCTCTGCCCTGGAATTCTGAGGCGACTGGGAGGCAAGGGAGATTTGCCAAGTTTTGCGAGTCCTTTCTATGGACATGGACATACATGGACAGTGTTACCTTGGAGCCTCTTCTGATCCCAAATCCAAACTTGTCCCCCATTTTCTGTTTACCATTTAATTTGGTAACCTCTAAACTGACACTTTAAGCAATGATAAACTTTTTTATGGTCAGAGAAAAAACAATTTAAAAGACTGGTAGACTGTCTGTGACTTTTGTGTATGAAGTTGCAATTTAATCACTATCTTTTTAGAGACTGTGTTTACGGTAATTTTGTAATGAACACTTTTGTGTTTTAATCCACCTCCAGTTAGACTTAAAATTCTTCCACTGTCACCAAAAGCAAAGCTTAGAAGGACAGCAGTGAGAGTTACCTTCCCTAGGGTAGGTGTGTGCTGTCCACCCACTTTCCATGATCTGGGCACCATTCTTTATGAACTCTTCTGGTGGGAGGGCTCCATGATAAAATGCATAGGATCAAAGAAAATAATACTTCCTAAGAAAAATATTAGCTTATGGCTATGGGTGTGAATGATAGGAAATTCATAGGAAATAGATAAACAAATTCAGAACTGAAGAAAATATCCTGGAGATCATAATCAGTTTTTGGTGGGTAACTGTTCTTTGAGATCCTCTCAGTTTTTATATATATTTAGTGATTTTAAATATCCCTTAGGGATTTTTTTAGGCAATATCGCAATTCTTGTTAGAAAATGCCATATTAAAAGATAGATTGTAAAAATAATGGTAGGATTTGGTAGTTGCCACTGAGTGTTTCCATGCATTTGTCTCTATATGTTAGCCTCTAGCATTTGCATTTAGGCATTACTTATGTGTTRCTGGGGCTGTGATTGCGTTATACAGTAACTATTCCAAATTCCTTTCCTTTTAGAATGTGGAAAATTGAAACCCAGGCTGCATCTGCTGTAAGAGTTTTCCCTCATCCTTCGTTTGTTTATACTGCCAAGTACCACCCAACGGCAAACTCTTTGGTTGTGACAGGATGTTACGACTCTGTGATTAGAGTTTGGAATGCAAAAGTGAAAGACATCCATGGGCAACTGCTACAGGAGCTGGATGGACACAAAACCTTCATCAACACACTCTGTTTTGATGCAGAAGGTATTTTCTCAGTGTTACTTCTTTATTGCTTTTTTCTCATTTCTGTTGGAAAGTAACTTAAGCGTTACTAGGTAGCTTTATTTCATAGAGGTGGCATAAAATACTAGAAAAAAATAGAATAGCTTTATCTGTGTTTGCAATGAATGGATTAGTTCACTGCCTTATTTGGGACTACTCTTTAAGCAAACACAAAGGGACGTATAAACCCTGATATAAATTAAGAATATTCTGAAATAAAAATGACAAGCAAAGAAAAAGCATAGTTATTGAGCAGTGATGTCTGGGCAAGTTTTGACAGTATTTTAGGTTCCATTGGCCCTGTAAACAGTTTTTATTAGTAGCTAATGTTTTGGACATGTTATAGCAAAAATAAGCAGAAAATAAAGCCTAGAAGCTACTGTTCAGGGAACAAAAATGCATCAGGGTGCAGGTGGAAAGCCTAGCAGTTATTGTAGAAATAAGCTGTGCAAAAAGGCAAATTTGGATAAATGGGAGAAAATACTAGGAAGAGGAGTGTGGTACTTTTTATAAAGGGATAAATATTTCTGTGTAATATAACACTTTTTAGATGTTTAGAATGTGGGATATATGTGGAAAAGAGTATTTGTTCTTGTTCAAGATGCTCTCAGTGAGTGTATTCAATGCATACATAAGCACTAGAATATAATATAAAACTGAGGTAAACATTCCTATTTTTCATGGCTCCCAGAAGATGAGAAAAAGTGAAGAAATTTAATAAAATATTCTGCATCCTAGTATTTGACTTATTACCAGCTAAATCCACATTCACGGTATCAGCTTTTGTCGTGCTGCATGAACAAAACGTATTTACACTGAATATATCATAGGAAGGGAGGAAAAAAATTATGTTTGCCTGTTTGCAGTGTAATAGAAGTTGTTTCTTGTTCATGCATCCCTGTCCTTTGTTTGCTCTTTTGTTTGGCATTCTTTTGGTTGTATGAAGTTGTTATTTTCCAGGGCTCCACATGTTCTCAGGAGATAGTTCGGGATTGGTTGTAGTTTGGGATACTTTCGTCAAAGGAAGTTCTCCACATCTGTTCCAACACTGGAGCATTAATAAGGTATACGCATTCCTTGAATTAGCTTTGTAATTTTTAAGTGACCTCATTTGCAACAATACACTTAATTCACATTCAGTTATTTTTGTATGTTATTCTTTATTCTATGTATTCTTGAAAGGTGTTCACAGAGGTAGGATTTCTGGATTTTCTTGTCATTTTCATGTATAGAAAACACAAAAAAATGCTCAAACTTTAATAATATAATATTAGCAGATGACAATGTGTTAGGTTTATTCTTGAATGTTCAATCAGCCTTTCTATCATAAAGGATGTTTCAGAAGTTCATAGACATAATACAATCTGTCTTGTGGTTGTGAAATTTGATTGCTTAGGATATAGTGCCTTATTCTAGAAACAAACTGTTTCTTAAACAGCGAGGAAAGAGGGAAAAAATAATGCAAGACTACAATGAATGAAAGGATTCAAGCATGAGTTTTAAAACAAAAATTTAAATTTGTACTGTGTTTTCTTTTTTTTACTGTTTTCCTTTCTTTTTTTTTTTTTTCCTTAAACTAATGATACCTTGGAATAGAATTTATTATTTTATTGCCTTATATTTTTTTAGGAAATAAAAGAAAATGACATTAAAGGAACTCCAATAAATCATTTGGAGGTACACCCAAATGGAAGACGTTTATTAATCCATGCCAAAGACAGTACTCTGAGAATTATGGATCTCAGAATGTAAGTAGATTTTGGTAGCAGTGCATAACTTCTTCTGTTTTGAAAACTACTTAGCAAAGATATAAGGTGCCATAAAATTATTAATGGAGGAGAAAGTGTAGAGGAAAAAAAGATGTACTAATAATTAAGGATAGCAATATCCTTAGGTTAGGAAATAATTTCAAAGCCCTGCTGTATTACAAACCTTTTGTGTGATGTTGGGAAAATCATTTCAGATGGATAGAGTATCAAAAAATGCCTGGATAACTTGGGAATTGAAGAGAGAGTGAAAATGAAGGCTTTAGCCTGCTAAAGAGTAATTTATCCATTACAAGGTGTAATCTGGGCCTGAAATAGCTCTGACATCATAACATTTATTTATTCATGTTTTAGTTCCTCATTGGTTAGACTCTAAAAAGTGTCTTTTAATATCATCATGATGTTAAAGAATACTTGCATTGAATATGCCAGTTATKCTGTATTGCTTAGGTGGGGAGATATTTTAACCTGATTGTTGATGATTTTCTCATTCCTAMAAGTACAAAGACTTCTGCAGGTTGTGTAGTGCAACATGTCTGTTCAAAGCAGAGGCACCTAGAGCAGGTTGCTCAGGATGTTGTCCAGTTGGGTTTTTAAGTATCTCTTTGGACAGAGAGTCCCTAAGAACTCTGGTCAGCTTCACAGGAAAAATGGCTTTTCTTGTATTTAAATGGCATTTCCTCCATTTCAGTTTGTGCCTGTGGCCACTTGCCCTTTCACTGGGTACCTCTGAGAAGAGTCTGCCTCTATCTTCTTTACTCCTCACTATCAATAATTTAAATACGCGGGAAATATGTTGTCAAACCTTCCCTTCTGCAATGTCATGTTAAAGATATGAAAACTCTTTGTAAATGATTCATCCTGAATTTCACGTCTCCCTCTCCCTGCACACACACAGACAATGAAAGGCCCCTGGTGTCCTACATAAAATTGCCCCGGGGAAATACCTTTTAGACTCCGATAGCACCAGAAWCTATTTTCTTTTAGAATCCACACGTATACACTCTTTCAGGAAATCTCATTCTTAAAACAGTGTGTGGATTGGGTGTTTGAACTAGCTGAAGACTTTCCAGTCTTACAGTCCATTTTTCAGCTTTACAATAAATAATAAATTAGAATGATAATGGTAGAAGGCCAAACTATCCACACAGTCCAGGAATGAAATGTATGGATTAACAGAGGGATTATGTGTTTTTTGTTTTTKAAGCTGATGGTCTTCGATCACTGCTATTCCAGAGGAGTACAGAGAGTTGCAGTTTGTGAGAGAAAAATGGAGATAAGATGGAAAACCCTCTAAGAAAGAGTTAACTTTTTATAAGTTCCTTTATTATTTTACGCCAGCCTCTTAATAGGGTCCCCAGCTCTTCTTCACCTCATCTCCCACACCTTTGGCCTTATATTCCCAACACTTCTGCCCTATCAGCTCTAGAGATCTTGTGGTACAGAGTTAAGTCAGATCCATGAAATGATCTGACAAAAAAATCAGCCTAAAAAACAAGTGATTAGTCCTCAGTTGAATCAATTATCTGATCCAGCTCATCTGATAGCTGCCGAAATGCTAGAGAAGAAATAAGGGAGAGCCTGGGAAAATAAGGGTGGAGAGGACAGCAGAAGGATGGCTGCTTAGACCACAAGCCACAGCTGCATTGGCTTAAGCCTATCGATAAACCATGGGGTCGGATGCCCAGCAGTGATAATTTTACACGTCAGCATTGACTGTTCTTTCCCTGCATGAGAAAAGAGGGGGTGGAGGTCACAGATCAGCATAATTTACTTTGAGTGGCAACTAGTTGTTCTTAATTGTCCTCTTTCAACTTCCTTTTTTGATCTCTCTGGATAATGTTAGTGTCCTGTCACTCAGGTATGCGATCAGGGATTTGGTTTTGGTTCAGACTTCTTAGATACTCTTATGCAAGTTAGGCTGACATCTTGTAGATTTGTTCTACACGACATCTCAAAGATATTATCTTTACTACTCATTCAACTGAACTGAAACAGTTATTTGAGCTAATACAGTCTTGTACAGTGATCATTAAGGTATCCTTTTCTCTTGCTTGTCGAGTAATGTGCTTTCCCCAACATCACTGTTATTTCTGTGGCATCAATCACATTTTAAAAATTACCTTCTTCCTTTGAGGACTGTCATGGTCTGTCCCTGTTCCCCTGCCTCAAACTCCATTCTATTACTCCTGAACTAGCCTCCGTTTTGATTGTGATATTTCTTTCCAAATTGCTCYCCATGCTTGAGACAGCTTTTATAAGCTACCTAGCTTACATTTTTTTTTTCCTTTAAATGTGATTGCAAATTTTGTTACCTGATTCCTGCAAAATGTTTAACAGCAGTTAGGTCTATGCTGACCAGTAGTATATCTGAAAAGGACTGGGATTCCTAAGTAGCAAAATAATATTAACAATAGCAATGTTAATTGTAAAGTAATTACTATTACTGCCTGAAGTGTGTTGATTGTATTMCTGTATTTGTAGTCAAGGAGACATTAGACTGAAGAGTTAAGAAGTGCTTCTGGATAAATTTGAGCACTACTGATATTTAATCAAGCTCAGGAAGCATAATGAATTTTTTTGGCAGAGCCTGGAATGATAGTGCCAATTTGCCTGTTTTCTCCAAAGCCAAGAATCAAGACGGTGCAAATAACTATAGCCGTGCTTTAAATCTGAATACTTCCTTACTGTAGCCAAAAGCAAAGGTATATGTTGTGATATGTAATTTCAGGCACGTCGTAAAAGCCAGGGAAAAGGAAGGGTGAACAACTGCAGTCTGCAAAAAGTGACACTGCATTATCGGTTTTGGGTGCAAGGTGTATTTATTTTTTTTCTGATATGCAGAAGGAAAGATTGATAGATAAAATGCTTGATTGTTATGAAAATATTTGCCACAATTGTAAACTCTCCATTATCTTTAGCTTGGCTACAAAGAAATATATAGGTGCCACAAATTACAGAGARAAGATTCACAGCACCTTGACGCCATGTGGTTCATTCCTTTTTTCGGGAAGTGAGGATGGAAAGGCCTATGTTTGGAATCCAGAAACAGGTAACTGTTTTGTGGTATTAAGTGGGGCTGTCAAGGCTGAAGGGGATAGATTTTGGTAAGCTTTCCTGAAATGTACTTGGTATGGAAGAAATTTTCAGTAAGATGTTCTGACCTCCTTAAACCTTTACTCCACCTTTTTRAAGACCTATTGTTAATCCTCTCCTCTAAGATCTGATTGATAAAATTCTCTAGAGGAGATAAATAAATAGACAGAAGTAGCATCTGTTATATCCAGCAGAAATGGAGTGCCTTAGGCACAGCTCCTTGTGTATTGCTGTCTTTTTATATATGGATGAGAATCTTGGAACGCACAAAAATGTTTTAAATTAAATCTGACTTTCTATTATTTTAGGGGGAGAAGGGGAGGATTWGAGAGTTAGGCACTTGTTGAGAACAACTTTCTCCTTCCCAAGGACTTTGGAGTACAAAGTTTCTTCATAAATTATGCCAGAAGAATACCTGAACTGAATAGTTTTCAAGTAACTATCAAAGTCTTCCTGGAAAAATATTAAGCAAAACATATATAGATAAGGTAAAGAGAGTTGTAGTCTTGTTTGACAGTAAGGTACAAGGGGCAAAATTGACTGCAGAAGGTGATAGAAACACTGTCTGATTTTTGATGACATTATATTGTCTTCAGTTGCAGTCTAAATATTTTTTTTAAGTAAGAATACCTAGCTATTTTAAAAATAAATAAGAGTCCTGGGTTGAATTTCTTTTCATGTTCCCAACTAAATTAACATACATATATGCCACTGCACAATTTGTCTAAAACATTTAGGAGAAAATGTATGAAGTGAGGCTTCATTTTTTTTTTTAAATAGGCTCTGGGTCTTGCTTGCACACTGAACTTCATTCATAATGCTGTCAAGTTAAGAAGTTTTTTTTAATAATAATATTTTGCTCAACTTTCACTACTCTTGCCAATGTTGTATTATGGGAATCTACTGCTAAGATCACTATCTCCTGGCAAAATGCAGGGGTAAACAAATACTGTGGAACACCACCTTTCGGGAACCTGCTTATCAGGACAGCACAACTCAGCTAACCTGATGCATCCTCTGGGTTTTCCTGCAGTTGTTGCAACTGCAGTAATTTCTCTGACTTAATACTGACTTTTAGATCATGGAATATTGCCTTAAGTACTTGAATTCTGCCATATTGCAGTTAAGTGTCATTTATGTAGTGTTGTGGTGTGTCTTTGGCCTTTTAGGTAGAGGAGCACTCTGCCTTCATGGGGAGAAGAAAAAGAATTTCAAAAGCATTGTCTATTTCAAAAACTAAATAAACCTAAACTAAAGGTTTAATTAGGCAATTTCAATTTAAAGGTAAATAGATGACTTCAAAAGCATTGTCTATTTTAAAAACTAAATAAACCTAAAAATTAAATAGACCTTTCCTCTAATGCTTTTTCACTCTACAAATTGTTGCAATTAGTCAACTGCATCAAATACATTTTCATGGAGTTAATGGCTGTACTTCACTTCTGTAGGTGATCAGGTGGCCATATATTCTGAACTATCCTTCACATCTCCACTTCGTGATGTTGCCTTTCACCCACATGAACACATGGTGTCATTTTGTGCCTTTGGTCAAAACCAGCCAATACTTGTGTACATTTATGATTATAAAGGTACAGTAGAAATGTTTTTGATTTGACCATAAATATTTATTTTTTTAGAAGTGATTTGCTAATGTTTTTGTTTCTTTTGAAGGAAAAACAAAATGTAATAATATATATCTCCAAGCATGGAGATCTCAAAACCCCATTGGACGAGATTGTGAGCAACCTCCTCTAGGTTACTCGGTTGTGGGCTGAGGGTTGGACAAYACAGTGTCCAGGGGTCTCTTCCAACTTCAAAGATTATTTTATAATTTACACAGAAATCTCTAAAAACAGTGTAAAATTTTATTTATCACTGACTTTGAATTTGCTTGGCTGAGACTGGTCTTCCAAATCATGGCTTTAGATCTGTTATTGTATTGATGCTTACAGCAGTTTATAGTAAATAGGCAGTGCTACATGAATGCCTGGAATCCCCTTTTCAGTATCAAGGTGGCTTATGGAGACAGACAATATGATTGTTTTGGAAATTAATGAATAGCTTGATGGAAATCTCAGCATTTTGTAGCAGTGAGATGTAGTATTCTGACTACCTTACAAGTAATTTTGAGGAGCTATATGAAAGTGAATGCATGTCAATGCAACATGATGAAGTATACTTGTTTGCTTATTTTTCTAGGTAGATGTTCTCTATATAGATAAGTCTCTGCTGTGATTATGTGCCAGATAGATTTATCCCGCACGTTATCTGTATATTAGAGATGGTGATAAACTGTGCCTTTGCATTTTTGGTTTGCAAAATAAAATCCAGAAGGTCCTTTGCAAGCTTCTCTGGTTTTGTGTTTTTGTGGTTTGATTTAGCAGTGTCATTCTTTCAATTAGGGGCATAGTTTCAGAGTTGGTACTATATCTTGATGGTAGATAGTGTTACTATGATTTATACAGCAAATTGTAAGTGTGAATTACAGCTAGGTATATATTTATGCAGTGAAGTATATCTAATTCTTTTATTTGCAGCATACATCTGTTTGTAAAGTCAGAGTCGTCTTTATTATACCTTGCCTTTTCAAATAACGTGTACTAAAGAGATTACTCGTGAAATTTCATAGTTTAGGATACTTCTGTATTGAACTATATGACTTGTACAGGAAAATAAAGTGGAATGATTTCATAGTTAATACATAGTGCTAAACTTTAGCCCAGTAAGGTATCTGCACTCTTTAGTTGCTGTATTAGAGAGCAATGGAACATTTGGTTCACACTAATACAACAGTTGGCTTTTTTTTTTCCTTTCCTCCAAACTTTGTGTAATAGTGAATCTTTAAAAAACTAATAGGTTATTTTAATATGTATGTGTTTATATTTAGAGATCACACTGGTAGTTATTTCTGTTGTCTGACTTTTTAATGAAGTCACTGATGACAGTAAGACTTTGTGTAGGTTGTGGTCTTTTCTCTGTTGCCTGTACTAACTTTTTGTTCCTTTTTTGGTTAAAAGCACACTCTTTCAGAAGATGCTCTTACTGCGCTAGAGTTGGAAGAGTTAATCATATAGTAATACTAAGTTTAGTCACTGGCACAGTTTTTAAGGCTCTAGTGGTAACAATGTTCTGCATAGATCAAAGCTTTATAAATATCCTAGGCAAAACTTATGTGAAGAATCCTGTTAACCTTTGTTGGCCTAAGACCAAAAAATAAAAGTTGTTAAATCAAGATGTTGTTTAAATGAGAGCAAGATAACCATCATCAGAAGTATCCTCTTCAGGGAGTTAGGCYGCCTCCCGAGGAGGACTCTTGTGCCTGTATATTTATTTAGCACCATTTGAGTTTTTCAAGTATAGTAAGCTCCTGAACTAGGCTGAAAAAAGTTGTAGCTCATGGAGAGCAGCAATGTTTATCAGCAGTACAATAACATCAATTCATTCTGAGCATTCACTGAACACAAATTAATGGAGGGAAGGCATCGTTATTGTGAGGAGTTAGGATTGCCCAGCGTRTCATTCTGAAGTTCTCCCAGTAGTGCTGCTACACATTGATAGTCTTTCTGTAAAGACATGTCTGACTATGACAGTGACCATTCAAATTAGTTGTTTTCTWTTTGTTGTTGCAGTTGTTTATCTTTTTAATAACATTTAAGGTTTCATCTGACATGAATATTRTTTATTTCTACAGTTGCACAGCTGGAAGCTGAAATTGTAAAAGATCTTAGTTCAACAGTTACAACAGCTGCACCAAGAGGGCCACAAATTTTTAGCAGTTTTTCTGAAATTCCTACACAACAGAGTTCAACAATTTCTCCAGCAGATCAGTTTGTCAACGTTGCAAGAGCATCAATGAGAATGAGGAAGGTGAAACAAAAACTTGATTCTGTTACAGTAAGTGATTTTTTTTTTTTCTTTTTTTTTTCTTTTTTTTTTTTCCTCTCTTTTCAAGGAACATGTCATTTCCTTAGTCACTGCTGATATTCTGGGACAGCTGGCCATAACACTGTGTACATACATACATATATATATATATACACACACACACACATATACATAGTATTTGTTCTGGAAATGGTGTGTGTCTCACTAGTACTAATGCACTTAAAAGTGCCTGTTCTGAAGAGATTAATGACATAAAGCTAAGTTACTTTAGTTTACCAGGTTTCAGTGACAGGGGATTCTTTCATTGATTCCTCTTTCCATTTATATGATGTACTACCCAGACCATTACCACTAAGCTTAATAAATTACATCTTTTTTTTGTCTATTCACCTTTAAAATGCAGAATATTCCTGAATTGCTCTCTGCAGGTGTTAATTGCTGGTTAGAGTGACATGCACTATGTTTGATTTTGTGCTTATTATTTTTCATTTTTTAAGTTCTTTAGAGCATATATTAATTTCAGGTAGCTTTAGATTCTCTCTGTGTTAATAATTAACAAAGCTCAAAAGATTAGTAGATGAAAGCAGTTGTTGCTGTGGACCTGTAGCTACACTCATCAGGCTCCCAGGATTTTGCTTTGAACTAGGTCTAGTCTCATTGCCTGACCTGAAAATCCCAACTATGTGTGTGGTTTGAAATGATCTAAAGCTAATCCAGAGCTGAGGAGTTTGAAGGGAGCAAGTTCACTGTGGGCAGAATCCTCATCAAGGTCTCCGACACAGTCTTCCAAAGCCTCTTCTCACAGACCACGTGTATGGGAGACGTTAGAAAGGAGTCTCTCCCCTACGACGGCCTTTGAAGTGGGGGAAGTGGAGCTCTAGCACGTGCTCAGGGAGTGTAGACAGGAAGGTTGGTGYTAGGCAGTGAAAATGGAAAGGGCAGAAGACATTTCTTGTGGTAAAGTCTATTCCTTGCTTGTTTTTCCAGCCTCTACTGAATGCAGTGTGTTTATCTGCATTCCCATCTCGCGCTGTTATGATACATGCTGCAGACTCATAGTGTCTGAGCTGTGGTAGGGCATCCCTTTCCATCCTCTCTGGGGTACCTGATGTGCAGCTGATACCACGTGTATTGGTACCCCACTGAAACCAGGAATAAAAGGAGCTCAGTACCCACAAACCCCTGCCTGCCTAAACCCAGACCAACCTGGAGCAGCAGAAGTAGCAGCAGAATCACAAAGATTTGAGGGCTGATGGATGCAAAGGTACAAATGCCATTAGCTCTTCGTAGAGTATAACGAGTGCTTCAGGGTGCAAGGGAATGCTTGATAGTTCAGGAGCATTTGTGCTCACAGGAATATTTCATGGTGGGGCAGCCCGCTCATTGGTCTGGATTCTTATGCCCCTGATAAGGATCAGGTTGCATCAGAGGTGCACACCTGGGGGTTCTCATATGCAAGAACTGGGTTTCCTCTGGATAAAACCAAACAGAAGAACTACTCTGCGGTGCAAAGCAGTGCACAGTAAATGAGAATGACTATAGGATGCCCTTGAAAGATGTGTTACTTCTCCATGTTAAAATGCTAACGTAGATAGATGTATCCTTACTTTCCTTTTCCTGGAAAGATAACACATGGCAAAATTGCCGATGGATTGAAATATTGCTTAATGCTGTTCCACCTGGAAATGTTTTACAACGTGACTTTTCAGTGAATCACAGTTGGTGCTTCTGTCTTGCCTTGCAGGCACAATGCAGGAGTAATATTTTTCTTTCGCAGTGGAATTTTTGTGAAAGGTTTAACGCCGCTGCACTTTGCAACTAACAGTAATCATACTTCCACTTCACGTTTACTTAATCCAATCTGCCCAGCTGGGAATAGTTAAACAAAAACAATTATGTGACTGTTGTTTTTTGAGAATCGCACACCTAACTTTGTGCCTTCAGAATTCCAGTGGAGTGGCACAACTTGAATGAGAAAGCAGTGTACTTAAAGTTAAACTAGTAATTCCATGTGTAGCAGAACATACAAAGTTTGATTTTCTGCAGTTTTCATTTGTGTCTTTTTTTTTTTTGGACTTGGTAATACTTAGCAAAGTTTGTCTGCCAGATTTTGCCAACTTTTCTGTTAATGTAGAGACTCATTTAGTTTTTGTTTTCTAGTTTACTGTTTGTTTTAAGGAAGTTTTAAAGGACATCATACTTTTGAGACCTATTTTTTTCTGTTCAGATAGAGTGAAATTCAAATGGAAAGGTTTAAAGTGTCCTGGGGATTGAGAAGCAATCAATGTGAGTACAGAAACCTCATTTTGTTAGGAACTCCAGGATAAATGTTGACTGTGAAGTACTTACAAGGGAAATTAATAAAAACATACACATATTGCCAATAACATTACTTCCCAAACTAAACACTGTAGTTATTTCAGGACCAGTTTTAATAAGCTTGCAATTACATGTTTTGACCTTAATCAGCATATTTAAATGTTTCGTGTTTGATATGCTCTTTGACTATGCTCCATTTGTAAAGACATTTATAAGCTCACATAGCAAGTACTAGTTCAAAAATGCTGTTATTTAAAAATACTATCTTTTTTTTGATATCTTTTTAATTTTAAAAATGGGCTCAACTTTTTAAAATTTAAAACACTTTTCCATATAGATTTTTTTAATCTCTTCCTTTGTTATCATTAATTTAAATTTGAAGAATTTTATGTTTGAGTGTSAAACCAAGAACAGTAGTTATGCGTAATTTTTCCCTGACATCTATCCTACATGATTTGATGACAAAAATCCATGGCAACATGATCATGTTAAATCATTCAAATCCTGAAAATATATCAACTGAATATATCTTGAAAAATATAAAAATCCTGAAAATATATCAACTTCAAAGTGTAATTTTTCTACTCATGTCTAATATGGATTCTCACGCCTGGGCCTTGTCACAGACACACAGGGATCACCCTTTGCAGCAAGCAGGTTGTGGGGACATAACCCGGTAGACAGTAAGTGTGGCCTGAGTCAAGCCTGGGCACGTGTTCTATGAGATGAAGGTATTGGAGTGAAGGTATTGAAACAGCAGAGAGGTCTTAGTGTGTAATATATATATATAATATATATGTATGTATGTGTATATATATATATATATATACACACTTAGCAGCAGTAGCCAGTGGCTATAGAAATAACTTGCAAGTGCCACATTTGGAAATCTGCACCTTAGACGTCTAAGTGCCTCCTTTCCAGGTATTTTAAAAGTAATCTCTTTGTTTTTCTTCTTGCTACCTAAACAGGAGCCTTGATGAATGATAGAGAAGTTCCTCCTCTGTTATGATGTTCCCATTCTTGCCCAGAAAATATGCAATTAGGGCAAAGATTTGAGTACTGGGCTAAAGCTGTAGCAGTTCACTATAGCTGCTGCATTTTGCTGCATTCCAACCTGTGTATTCAAAGTTTACTGGTGTCGTATTTGATTCTTTATGAAATTCTTTATAAAACTAGAATGGAGAGTTGGCTTCTTGGCCCTATACAGGGCTTCTTGGCCCTGACAGCTATAGTCAATCTTGGCAGCAGTTATTATTTGCCTCTGCCTCAAGGAACTAATGGTAATATATGCTCTGTTCATAATGGTTTTTAATAGGAAAGCACTTAACCCACAAGTGTACACTTAACATCTCTAGTCATCAGAAGAACTCCTAAATGGTTTTCATTCCGTGTTGCTATTTATATATTTAAAATTTCACTTCCATCTAGCAGTCAAAGTACCTGGTTATAACTTTTCMTAATGAGAAGGTAATACATATTACATAGTTATAGGGATGTTTAAAGGTGTAACATCCTAGCTGTGATGTTATACTTTTTAAATATTAAAACTGTCAAGCAATAAACTAAAAAATGCTTTTTAGAATTTAAGAACAAAAGCTATATACACTCTGTACTACTCATGGTACTTGTCTCTCTAATATGTGAATACTTCAAAATAATTAAAATGTTTTTTTTTCGAGCCCTATGTAGAGTGCCTTTCTTTATGGCTTTGGACTAGAGTCTCATAGTTTTTTGTTGTTCTTGTCCTTTATGAACTTTCTACTCTGAGCATTCAAAGTCAYGACAGAAAACAGATAAAATCAAAGTGTATATATTGACACCTGATTTGCAAGTTTTCAAGCGATGCATATCTGTCAATTTTCAGCAGGTGGGATTTGATCTATAACATTTATTATATGTAACTGTACAATTTGCAGACCTGTAAACGGATACTTTTCCACTATGTGCATACTTGTATAAAAGCAGTTATTAAAATAGTATTCTTTTCAGAATGCTAGCTGCAGATGAGGCCAGTAGGATTGGTTGATTTTCTGGATTTTGAATGCTTGCTRTTTTTYCTTTTTCTTTAATGAAGCACTAGCCAAACAATGTGGGAAGGAAGATCGTGTCTTGTTACTTAGGAAATCCAGGCTCAACCCATGTATTGAACACAGTAATTCGCTACGGCCAATAGTAATAAGTAATTAGTTAATTATTTCTGAACAAGAATCTGGTCAAATTAAAAGTAATTTAAACAAGAGCAGACAGATCTTAGGAGGTACGAAAAAACTTGAATAGAAGGAGGCTGTGCTGGTYACAGCTCTCAGCTTTGCAAGAAGGATAGGTGGATTTGACTGAGATGGGAAGTGTGATTAGAAAATACAGAAAATCATTAATAATATGTGGAAAAAATGTTTTTTTTCTGTTTCTCACAAATGAAATGAGGGCAAATATGATAAGTTAGGGAGTTTGAAGTTTTGGATAAGTTTGAGTTGTTAATCCATTAATTTTGTCAACTTTAATTCCAAGACCTACAATTACACATCATTCTACTACAATTACACATCATTCTAAATTGCAGATAGATAATGTTTCCTGTGCTAGGAAAGGCAAAAATATTTCTTTGTGACAATATTCCTAATTTAGCAAAATTTTAGTCTAAGCATTCTTCATTTTAGCAGGCATTAGATGACATATAGAACAACACA